TTTAACTATGTAAAGATGTGTTGCATTTGTTTAACTATGTAAAGATACGTTGCATTTGTTTAACTATGTAAAGATGTGTTGCATTTGTTTAACTACATAAAGATATGTTACTGCTTAACTTGCCTGCCCAAGGCACCTGATTAATCTAATAAAAAGCTGAGTGGCCAACAGCGAGGAAGGAGGTCTAGGTAGGACTTCTCGGCAAGGAGCATAAGCAAGAGGAGGAGTTTAGGCTGGGGGAAGAAAGACAAAAGACACAAGAGAGATGCCAGGGCCAGCCAGACAGGAAGCAGGAAAGCAGGACACACAGAATGAAGATAAAAAGCCCCGAGGCAAAACGTAGATGAATAAAGACAGGTTAAATTAAGTTAAAAGAGCTAGTGGGACAAGCCTAAACTAAGATTGAGCATTCATAATCAATAACAAGTCTCTGTGTCTTTATTTGGGAGCTTGTTGGTGACCCAAAGAAAATTCCAACTACAGTATAATTTTGGGGGTTCAAAAGATTTATTAAATTTACTTTATGTGTTTAAGTGTTTTACTTGCATATATATAGGTCCACGATAAGCATGCTTCATGTCTGCGGAGGTCAGACAAGGGCTTCTGATCCCCTGTCGTAAGCAACCATGTGGGTGCTGGGAATCAAACCCATATCCCCTATTAGGGTAGCAAGTGCCCTTAACAGCTGAGCCATCTCTCCAGGCCAATCTTAGAAAGAGTAATAGACTTTAATCATCCAACATATAGATCATTCTTAAATTTCATCTTTGTATGATTTATTTGAATTCCTTGTGACTTGGCTTTAGGCTTTCATTATTTGACTCCATAGCTTATTTTTCATTCTTAGAACAAAATCTTTTTTATCATAAAAAAATCCACCCTTACCCAAGATATTCCCTTTTCTTTTTTACCCTTTTAACAAAAACATAACCTTATATTTAGATTATTCTCAACAGTTCTCTCATACCCACTTACTGTTTCTTTCTTATTTCATGCCTCTGAAATGTCAAATCCAAAGAACATATGTGGCACCTTGTAACAAATTAAGACTACCTGTTCACATACTTTTCGTTTGTTTGGTTGGTTTTGGTTTTGGATTTTTCGGGACAGGGATCAGGCTGGCCTCGAGCTCACAGAGACCCACCTCTGCCTCCCTAGTGCTGGGATTAAAGGTGTGGCCACCACCACCCTGCTGCACACATCCTTTGTTGCTTTTTTTTTTAAAGATTTATTTACTAGCCAGGTATTGGTGGCGCATGCCTCTAATCCCAGCACTCGAGAGGCAGAGGCAGGTAAATCTCTATGAGTTCGAGGCCAGCCTAGTCTACAAGAGCTAGTTCCAGGACAGGTTCCAAAGCAACAGAGAAACCCTGTTTCGAAAAACAAAACAAACAAACAAAAACAACAACCAAAAGATTTATTACAATGCATACAATGTTATGCTTGCAGGCCGGAAGAGGACAGCAGATGTCACTACAGACAGCAGTGAGCCACCATGTGGAGGCTGGGAATTGAACTCAAGACCTCTGGAAGAACAGCCATCTCTCTAGCCCAATTTTGACAACATTTCTTTCTTCTTCTGGTTAGAAAAAAATACTTTACATTCTAGCAAGAGCCTTGACATATTATCAAAATGACCTTGGTGTTAGGGAATAGGACCTTGCAAACAGGAAATGGCAGAAAAGAAAGCACATAAGGAGCCAAAAAAAAATCTCTGCATATTATCTCTGTAATTGCAATTTTAGATGAGAAAGACATGTGTTAATGTGTTTTAGTTCTCACTGAAAAGAGGAGTGTTAGGGCATTGCCTCTCAGAATGCTCCCTGTCCCTCCACTTAGAACAGTGGATTTCTGCTTTCTTCCTGGAGTCTCTCTTCTCTCTAACTCCCTTTGAGCTTTCTCTACTTGGTGATTTGGACCTTGGCTTTCTGGAGCCTTGCCTACTCTCATTAATCTGATTTATGGCTGTCACAGAATCTAAGCTTTCTGCTTGTTTTTCCTTGACCCTCTTCCACAGACCTTGGGCTCTGAATAACTAACTACTTTCCCACCTCTTTAGCCCTCCACCTTTTCTCATTTGTTTTCAGTCTGTCTGCTTAGTGGTTAGTTGCAAAGTGTAATTTTAGTATCCCTTGTCCCAAAGGCTCTTTTGTGTTTAATCTCAAATATTTTTTCAGCTGACTATTAGGCCTTTCTTGGAATACTTAGGGCTCATCTTCTTTTCCTGTTTATTAAGGTTTCTCTTACCTACTGACTCCTTGGTGGTGGTAGCCCACTCTGAAGGAAGCCTAGTATATTTCAACACTGCCCAGAGCTTTCCTTGAGACAGTCTAACACCTTTGAAGTTTCTACAACACACCGTCTGTGGCTTTGCACATCTAACGTTCTCTACCTGGGATGTTTTTTCCCAGGCCAATGGGTTGGCTCTCTTGTTCCTTTTCGATCTTGACTTAAATGTCACATTATCAGGGAAGCTGTCTCTATCACACCTTTTATCATGCCACTGTACTCCCTGTTTATACATCTCATATGTGACAAACTGTTAGATGTGACTGGCACCTCCATTAGATACAGCTAGTTCACTGAATAGAAGAGTTTTTATTTTATTCAGTATTATTGGTGTGTGTGTGTGTGTGTGTGTGTGTGTGTGCGAGAGAGAGAGAGAGAGAAAGAGAGAGAGAGAGATTTTATCCTTCTACCATGTGGGTTCCATGGATCAAACTTAGGTTGTCAGTCTTGGAAGCAAGTGCCCTTATTGCCCGAGTCATCTCGCCAGTCCTCTCAAAAAACAAACAAGCAAACGCCTTTCTATTGAACATTAGAGATAAAAGGTTTATAAAAGGATTGTCAAGATTTTTTATTAAGCAAACAGGTTTGTGTTATGGGCCAAAAAAAAAACCCAACCGAATAAAAGATAACTAACTTTTAAATTTTTTTATTTTACTTTTTAATTATATGTATCTGTATGAAGGGGCATGTACGATATGTGCAGGTGCCTCCAGAGACCAGAGACATCAGATTCGCCAGAAACTGGAGTTGCAGCTTGTTTCAAGCCATCTGATGTGGGTGCTGGGAATTAAACAGGACTCTTCTGCATGAGGGGAGGCATCTCTTCAGTTTCAATTAATTTTTTTCTTTTTTTTTAAAAAAAGATTTATTTATTTATTATGTATAGAATATTCTGCCTGCATGTATGTCTACAGGCCAGAAGAGGGCACCAGATATCATTACAGATGATTGTGAGCCACCATGTGGTTGTCGGGAATTGAACTCAGGACCTCTGGAAGAACAGTCAATACTCTCTACCTCGGAGCCATCTCTCCAGCCCAATTAGTCAAATTTTAGACTTGTTGACTTTATGTGTGAAGGGTGGGGGCTCATGACCCTGAGGCTGTGGCCAATTTTCTGTGTAGAACTGTATCCTTAGCCTAAGGATTTAACTGAAATTCTAGAAATAAATCAGGAAATGACCAGGAAAGCAACTGGAAATTTAGCTTGCCAATGCCCCCGTATTTGATGCCTTTGTCTCTCCCTCAGTAACTGTACCATATGCTTTAGGAAATCTAAACCTTTGAAGCTTTTCAAGCAACTCTCAGAGACTGTGTCTCATACTGTAGTTCAGGCTAGCACGAAATTATGCAGGCCAGGTGTTTACTACCTCACGACAATCCTTCTGTCTCAGCCACCTGAGTGGTGGGATGTAGTGATAGTCTCTTCTCCTTGCTTTAGCGTCTTTGCTCAAATTGTCCTTTGTTCACGTATCTTTCCAAGGCACTCGTCACCATTGCCTAGCTCTCAACTGTGAGACCCTCAAATGCTCAATTTTGCCTGCTGTGTGCATTACATCAGCAGCAGCCTGAGGGTCCCTCACTGTCTATCTGCTTAAGATGTGCAGGGCCTGAACCTGCTGGTTCCCCAAACCCAAAGCTAACTGAAAGAAAACATAAAGGAAGCTGGCCATGGTCTCTCTCTCTCTCTCTCTCTCTCTCTCTCTCTCTCTCTCTCACACACACACACACACACACACACACACACACACACACACACAATTTCAGCAGTGGAGGCAGAGGCAGGCAGCCAATTGTGAGTTAGAGATCAGCCTGATCTACATGGCAAGCTCCAGGGTAGCCAGGAACATACAAGGGGAGACTCACAACAAGAGGAGAGAACACAACAACCACAGACCTACAAACAAACATGAAGATGATCCGGCAAAAGGAAACTGGGGTCTCTCCTTCCCCTTTTTTTGTAGTATCGAAATTCCTTGCTAAATCGGGAACCACAGGACCCCCAGATGGCAACCAGACCACAGGGAACAGTCTTTCGGAAAGGAAGGTGATACGACGTTAGGGAGGCCAAGATGGAGAGGCCAGAGTCCTCCAATCTCCACCCGAAGCCTAAAATTCTACTGAAAATGTCCAGACCCTGGTAGATTTAAGGGGCCTCTCCTGAGCTTCTTACTGTCAGGTCACACCACTCATCTAACTTGACTTGCCTTACAACGTTTGGCATCAGCGCCCCCTCCCGTCAAACCGTGAGAGGAAAGTGAAAGTCTGGTTAGAATTTGGTGTCCGCTAGGGGCCGGGAAAGAGTGTGCTGACAACCATCTTTATTACGGGCAGACGCCGTGGCTACGGAGAGCGAGTGAGACCACGAAACTTTCGACTGCAAGCTGGTGAGTCCAGGCGCCCGCGGGTGTGGAGCGCCGCGGGATGCGGGAAGGTGTCGGGCGTTAGGTTCGTTTGGGACCCGCCGTGCCATGGCCTGGACACCCCGATCCGGTGGCCTTCTGCCTCCTCTCTCTAACGTACCCCCGTCGTGGGCGCATCCCGTGGGCGCTGGGAATGAGCGGGGCGAAGGGATTCGCGGAGGTCCTGGGCTGCTCGCTACCGGGGGCGTCCCGCGCCGGGACTCCGACAGACAGCCGTGGGAGCCCTCATCGGCCAGCGGCCCGATGCCCTTCGCTCTGCAGCGGCTCCGGGTCACGTTGCTCCGTCTGCACCGCGAGCGGGAGCAGCTCCTGCAGGCCCGGGACTGCGCCCGCCACCTGCAGGCGGTCGTGCGACTGCTCCGCTCCAGCCCGTCGGCTAGTGCCCTCTCCCTGCAGCAGCTGCACGGCGACCTGCAGCTGTACCCTTCGCGTCGGGCGGCTCTGCGCCTCGGCCTCCCGGGCTCCACCGAGACGCTTCTCCTGGCTCGCCCCGTCGGGCTAGCAGCCCAGCGCCTGGATGCTGCCATCGAAATGCAGCTTCGCGCCCTAGGCCGGGCACCCGCCAACCTGGGCCTGACGTCCCAGCTAGCCGAACTGTTGCTGGTCCTTCCCTTCTACCACAAGCTACAGAGACAAGTCGTGAGCTGCGTTCCTGGAGCCGCGCGCCCATTCCCCGCGACCCGTGTGCTCCATCTCCTGGCTGCTGAGCGGGGTTGTCAGGTGGCACACAGACTGGCTGAGGCCCTTGGCGGATCGAGTTTACAAGACCAACTCCGTCGGCAGTGCGACGAGGAACGAGAGCTGCTGCCAGGACTGCTCGGTCTAATAGGGGGCGTGGCTAGCACCGACAGCAGTGGACTGAGGCTCGGAGGGCCTGGAGCCCTGTGGAGCCAGTATTGGACCTTGCTGTGGGCTGCTTGTGCTCAGAGTCTGGAACTAAGCGTGGGACCCTGGGGGGATCCCAGAGCTGTGGCCCAACAGCTGAGTCAGGCACTGTGTCAAGGTGAGTGAGAAACCCAAGCTGTCGGGGGGGGGGGGGGGGGGGTGGGGGGGGGGGGGCTGTCTCCCCCCCCCCCCCCGGTTTCCCTTAATCGGCTCACTCATCTCTAGCCTGTCAGCAAGAGCAGGTCCTTTAGAATGAACTTCCCTGAGTTTATAGATTAAGATTTCCCAGGTCACCTTGCTTCCCACGGGCCGAGAGCCACTGTGCCTGCCTTTGCACCCCTGGTTTGAGTGGTAGAGGCCCGTAAATAGGGAGGCTTTGTTCCTGGCCCTCACCATCTCTCCCGTCAGCATCCCTGCCTCCGGAGTGTGAGAAGGAGCTGCTGTCCTTGTGTCGCAGCCTGCACCATCAGTCTCTTGTCTGGAGCTGGGACCAAGGTAAGGAGAGAGGGATACTGGGGGTGGCCCAAGAGTCAGTTTGCTCCCGCTTTCAGGCTATATTCTGTCATTCCAGGGTTCTGCCAGGCCTTGGGATCATCCCTGGCGGGTCAAAGAGGTCCTGTTTCACCATCTCAGACTGCTGAGCTGTTGCAGCAGCTTTTTCCTCCGCTCTTGGACACCCTTCGAGAGCCTAAGTCAGAACTTAGCCTGTGTCTGCCTCCAGGTGAGACAGATGTGGAATGGGGTAGGAGGCACCTGTGCGGGTAAGAGCACAGGTGCAGGGAAGAGCACGGATAGCTGTAGGTGAGAGCACAGGTGTGGGTGAGAGCACAGGTGCGGGTGAGAGCACAGGTGCGGGTGAGAGAACGGATAGATGTAGGTGAGAGCACAGGTGCGGGTGAGAGCACAGGTGCGGGTGAGAGCACAGGTGCGGGTGAGAGAACGGATAGATGTAGGTGAGAGCACAGGTGTGGGTGAGAGCACGGGGTGAGAGCACAGTTGATACCTTTTTCCTTCCCTCTGTTCTGAAGACCTCATGAAGGTAGCCCACAGACCCTAGGATACTCTGCTCTTCCCCTCCAGGTCCTACACCTGTCGCTCTGGGGCTCTGTACCCTGCAGACAACCTTGATCTGGTTCTTGGACAGAGCTCAGCATCACCTGGCAGTCTGGGCCCCTGGTTCCTTCCTGCTCCTGATCCAAAAGGATTTGCCTGTGAGTAGCCAGGGAGCAGGGAAGGGAGCAGCCTGCCCTGAACTGAGCCCTCACTCCCTGTTTCCTCCGAAAGCCTCTATTGCGTGCAGTGGAAGATCTGTCCAGCCTGGCCTCAGAGGCAACCTTAACCCTGGAGGTGGAGCAGCAGCTGGGCCTGGAGATCCAGAAGCTAACTGCAAAGATGCAGGTAAAAACATAGATGCAGATGAGAGCACAGTGAGGGTGAGAGCACAGGTGCGGGTGAGAGCACAGGTGCGGGTGAGAGCACAGGGTAGGTGAGAGCACAGGTGCGGGTGAGAGCACAGGTGTGGGTGAGAGCACAGATAGATGTCAGTGAGAGCACAGGTGCGGGTAAGAGCACAGATAGATGTAGGTGAGAACACAGGTGTGGGTGAGAACACAGGTGCGGGTGAGAGCACAGATAGATGTCGGTGAGAGCACAGGTGCGGGTGAGAGCACAGGTGCGGGTGAGAGCACAGGTGCAGGTAAGAGCACAGGTGCGGGTGAGAGCACAGGTGCGGGTGAGAGCAGAGCCTCTGATAGTAGCAGTGTGTGCCCCAACTAGGGAATGAGCAGAGTAGAATCTGTACCTTGCAATCTCCTTGGAGTATCCACTAAATTCACTTTTTCTTTTTTGGTTTCTTGTTCTGCTTTAGTCTTTACTATGGAAAATTTTCAAATATGGTTGTCACAGTAATCAGCTCATGGTCAGTTATGATTCACACCCACCTGCTAATAGTGAAAGCCACTGATATTATTGCTTAGACTTATTTCATTAGTGACTGCAAAAAGTGGTATTTCATAATTACATTGAATGTTCAATTCAAGGTCCTTCCCTCTTTAGGTTTAATGTGTGTGTTTGCTTGCTTATTTTGTTTTGTTGAGACAGGGTCTCACTATGTCATTCTGGCTGGTCTGTAACTCAATATGTAGATAAGGCTAGCCTAAAATTCAGAGTGATTTTCCTGCCTCTGCTTCTTAAATGCTGAGTTTAAAGGTGTATACCATCACACCTGGCTTAATTTATAGTTTTATTGAAGTAGTACATGTCTACAGTTTAAAAAGTGAAATGTAGCCAGGCGATGGGTGGTGAAAGCCTTACTCCCAGCACTTGGGAGGCAGAGACAGGCAGATCTCTGAGTCTGAGGCCAGCCTGGTCTACAGTACAAAAAAGAAAGATGTAAACAGGGGCTGTAGCTAAACAGTAAAGCATTGACTGATCATGTAGCAAGACTTTCTTTGATTCCAATTATGAGCGGGAAAGGTGGGGGGAAGCAGCAAGATGGTTCTGACAACCTGAATTGATCTCCAGGGCCCATGTGGGGAAGAGAGAGAACCAGTGTCTGCAAGTTGTCCTCTCCATATGTAAGCACACATACACACACACTCACATGTGCACACACACGCGCGCGTGCACACACATGCACATGCATGCATGCGCGCAGAGAGAGAGGTGGGGGAGAGGGAGGTTAAAAAGTAAAGTATTATTTTTTAAGACCTCTAATGAGAACAATTCCACCTTCCATCTGTGGTTGTTTCCCCCTCGCTCTGAATCATTCCTGAACCTCATGTGTGCTAGGTAAGCTCCGTATCACCAAACTATGTTATCAGCCCCTCTTACTGTGCGTGATTTCCTTCGGTATTTATTGATAAAGCTATCCTGTCTTAATTCTGTCCCATTTTGCACACTATTGCTTCCTACTGTGGAAAATGTAGACTATGAGGTTCTTTTCATTTTCTCCTGTGTGACTGTTGAGTCCCTGACTCTCAGCTCCTTTGCTCTGCTTTTCTGCTCGCCAAGCATCTTACTCTGTGAGCTCCCACTTCAGTTCTGAATCCCAGACAGCCCAGCAACTATTTGGCGTTTCTTTCATGGTTACTGTTGTCGCCCAGAGTACGGGCATCATGAATAGGGCCTGACAGTGGTGTTTGGGGAACCTAAAGGAGAACCATGGCAGGTGTGAACACTGTAGAGTGTTTCACAAAGTACCCGAGGCTTAACCGGTGGCTGGGCAGCCTCTTGAGTAGCAGGCAGCCTCAGAGTAGCAAGAGCGGGTTCCCCATAGAGTCTTCTTGGGGAACCAAAGCTGAGCTGATATGCTTGCTCTGGTGATATAAATGCTTGATCTTTCTCTCTCCCTCCCTCTCTCTCTCTCTCTCTCTCTCTCTCTCTCTCTCTGTGTGTGTGTGTGTGTGTGTGTGTGTGTGTGTGTATCTTCCTCTTCTGTATGTTTGTGGGCTTATGTGTGTCAGAAAAGGAGTGTGGGAATTGGCGAAGTAAGCAAGTTAGTATTAAATCATTGGAGGCAAGGCCAGGTGTGCTAATGTACACATTTAGTCCTGGTACAGAGGAGGCTGAAGCAGAGTTGTTAGTTTGAGGCCAGCCTGGGCTACATGGAAAATAAATAAATAAATAAATATTTATTTATTTATTATGTATACAATATTCTGTCTGTATGTATGTGTGCAGGCCAGAAGAGGGCACCAGACCTCATTAGAGATGGTTGTGAGTCACCAGGTGGTTGCTGAGAATTGAACTCAGAACCTTTGGAAGAGCAGGCAATGCTCTTAACCACTGAGCCATCTCTCCAGCCCCACCAGTCAGCTTCTTTATTAAACAATCTCAGTGGCATATATTCACACAGTGTGAAGGAATATTCCACACAGGCACATAACCCAACATGCCTGACTTGTCATGTGCCTTTGACTACTAAGAACTGATAATCCTACATATTGTGCACAGTTTGGGTCCAGACTTCATGGAAACTTCAGTTAAAGTTGTGACATTTCTCCTTAGAAAATGCCCAGGCTCCCACAGTGATGCATGGATTTGGGATTTTACAGACCCCACATTGAGGCCTCAGAAGGGAGAAGCACCATCTCATCAGTGTAACCCACGGACTCTTCCTACTTTCCTTCCCCCCCCCCCCCACAGCTCCTGCCTGAAGAGTCGCTGAGTCTCTTTTTCCAAGAATGCCATAAACAAGCCACACAGGGCTTCAAGATCCACATGCCAAGGGGTCGATACTGGAGGCTTCGACTGTGCCCTGGTAATTTTTCTTCTGTTTTTTTCTCTGTGGTGCTGGGCAAGAAACCCAGGACTTCACACATGCTAGGCTAGCAAGTCCTACCGACTGAGAGAGACACACAGAAACCCCAGCCCACTGTCTTGGTAACTCCCCAGGTCCACCTTCTCCTTCCAACGGTTCCCAGCGTGAATGGTGACTCAACACCACTGTCACCATCCTTGTGCCCTTCCCTCTCTGGTGCCCACTGGATTTCTAGAGTGTCACAATCTGTCCTTTCTCTTCTCGCCCTCCAGAACATCCCAGTGCTCCTAGTGAGTATGCAGGGATGGTGGTCTGCGCTGTGCTGGAGCCTGTGTTGCAAGGACTGCAGGGATTGCCACCCGAAGCCCAAGTCCCCGCCCTCAGCCAGGCACTGACAGCTATACTGGGTGCCTGGCTTGACCACATCCTCACCCATGGGATCCGGTTCAGGTGGGAAGAAAAGATGGTCGTGGCAGAGGGAGAATGTCAACAGGGAAAACGGAGAACACTGGGGCAGAGCAGTCTGGGGAGGCGCGCGGGGTGGCCACATTGTACCTGGACATCTAGTCTGCAGGGGGCGCTGCAGCTCAGGCAAGACTTCGGAGTGGTCAGGGAGGTCCTGGAACAGGAGCAGTGGGACCTATCCCGGGAGCTTCGTCAGACTCTGCTCTCACTCAGCATCTTCCAGCGGCTAGATGGGGCCCTGCTATGTCTACTGCAGCAGCCACTGCCCAAGAATCCAGGCCACAGAAGGCCGTCCTGTTGCTGTGAGTCATTCATTACCCCTCCCCAATCCCAGGTTTTCCCAAGTCCCTCCATCACTGCTTTAAGAGACCACACCCCCATCACACTATTGACTCGGCATTAGCATCACCCACCAACCTGCCTTCCACGTCTGCCTTCCCAGGTTTTTGTAATGAAGTCCAGACCACTGAACTGCCCACCAGCAGCCTCAACAGCCTGGAGAACTTGGCGCCCCCTCTACGGCCTGGAGTCTCCCCAGCACAGAACATGCACCTGCTAAGCACCCTAGGAGGAGGAGGGCCCAGTCCTGAGGCTTACCTGGCTGGAAACCAGCAGGCCTGGCTTGCCCTAAGGCTGCATCCGCACCCTCGGTGGCACCTATCCTTTCTTTCCTGCCTGGGAACAAGCCCTGAGCCCTAGGTTGCCTAGGTTCCAAATCGTGGGCAGTTAAGCCCCAGTCGAGGAACTGTGTGTTAGAGAGGCTTAAAACCGGGATCTTGGGAGGACACGTATATAAACTACACAGTCTGGAATTGAATCCAAGATCATCCTAATACCTGGAATCCAGAGTAATGGGCAAACTACAGCCGGAAATCTGAAAGTCCGTGACAATGAAGACAAGAGCTAGAAATAGCTAGATTTACAGGGTTGGCTCGCAAGAGACAGAAGCAATCTACATGCTTTCTCTTGAATCCCAGCAACAAAGCTAAAGTTAATTAATTCAAGGGGAAACACAGATGGTGCAAGCATTTCTACACGTGGAGAACTTGTCTTAAGCCTTCCCTGTTTCTATTTTTAGTCATTAGGCTGTAGGATCTTGACAATATTTAAACTGTTCAATTACCAGGTGGGGTTTACTTCCTGGTGGGGTGGACAATCCCTGCTGTGGTTATCCCTCATTGGAAGCAGCCAGGATTTAGGATGGTGTTGACCTAGATCTAGCAGGCAGGATGCTGAACTGGCAAAGCTGCAGGAGACGAAGTGTTTTCGTGCAAACGGGGTTTTTGCACATTCACGCTGTGTGTCGCACAGGGTAAGACTAACGGCTGAAGTATTAGCGGACCGCCCACCCTGGGTTCCTGGGCGGCCCGGGAGGGCAGCCACTACAGGTCCCGCGGAGGCCGCCGGAAGTGGCCCCTTCCAATAAAGTGATTCCCCAGCACTACTTCCGGGGGAGAGGTAACCATGGCGGCGGCTTTAGCTCGGCTGGGACTGCGGCCGGTCAAGCTGATTCGAGTTCAGTTCTGCCCGTTTGAGAAGAACGCGGAATCGACAAGGTACGGGTTCTGGGGAGGTGGGAGGCGTCCCCCGACCCTCTGCCCGAGTTCCGAGGCCTCTCAGACCCGCGCTCCCTGCCTCGCGCACGCCCCTTCTTCCCCGAGCGCGCTCACGGGGTCCTCCCGCCGCAGGACCTTTCTCCAGGCGGTAAGCAGCGAGAAAGTCCGCGCCACAAACCTCAACTGCTCGGTGATCGCCGACGTGAGGCACGACGGCTCCGAGCCCTGCGTGGACGTGGTATTCGGTAGGTCTGGCTGGGACTCGGGCGGGCGACGGCGGACTCCGGGTCCCTGACTCATGGGTTTGCATCTTCCCCAGGAGACGGACATCGGCTGATTATGCGCAGCGCCCACCTCACTGCTCAGGAAATGTTCACTGCCTTCGCCTCCCACATTCGGGCCAGGAACGCAGCGGCAGCATCCGCACCCAGCACAGACAAGCCGGGTTCAGTTACTGGTACCCAGCGCTGACATTGCAGACGAGGACAACGACCAAATGTTAACTTGGAATTAGAGAGTGTTGTCTAAGAAGAGCAGGACTTAATCACTCAAAAGGCTCCATGGACGTCAGGAAACAGACTGACAGTGTGCAAGGAACCCTGACACTTAACAGTGCTTTGGGGGCAAGATAAGATTAGGTGATGGAGGGTCAGAACAAATTTGAATTTTTCTTTCTCTTCCCTCACTGCTTAACCATATTTGAACTTGGCGTCATCTGTCACCCAAGTACTGCTTAATTAAATATTTATTGCCAAATGAATGTTATTTTGCGCAGGTTGTTTGCTTGGTTGGTTTTCGAGACAGGCTCTTGTCATGAGCTAACCTGAGACTTGGTATGTAGCCCAAGGTGGATTCTCCTGCCTCAGACTCCTGAGTGCTGTAATTATAGGTGTGCTTCACCGCATATCAGGCATCATCGTCCTTGGCAGTTTTGTCTACTCTTAGTAGTTTTCTCTGTTTTTAGTAGTTTTTGTTTACTCTCATAAGGAGTCTGTATTAGTCAGGGTTTCTATTGCTGTGACGAGACACCGGAACCATGACAACTTTTATAAAGGAAAACCATTTAATTGGGGCTGGCTTACTGTTTCAGAGGTTCATTATTGTCTTGGTAGGAATCAATGGTGGCACACAGGCAGACATGGTGCTGTAGAAGGACTTGAGAGTTCTACCTCTTCATCCGTAGGCAGTAGGAGGAGATGATGACACGCTCCTCCAAAAAGGCCACATGGATCTATGGGAGCCATTCCTGTTCAGACCATAGAACCACCCATTCTGTCATAATTTAAACTGCTCTGGACTTAAGCCCTACATTTCTGTCTAGTTTTAACCCCAACTTCTATGGTTACCTGCTCCCAATTTCCTCCATATGCCAGCAACATTTTTTCCTTAAAGTGGGGTCAGCCCCACCTGGTGGCTCAGACCATCCCAGCTACTCAGGAGGTCTCACTCATTCTCCTGTACCACTTGGCATTCTCCTTCCTGGTGCCATTTTCCCTAATCATTTTTGCTGCTACTTAATCTTATCCTTCAGGTACGTAATGGCTTATTTCTCAGAGCACCTGAAGTAGTTTTTAGTCCAACAAACATTGATGTGACCATGAAATCCTTTTAGAGGATTAAATGGTAAAAAGTTATTCATTCATTCTATATGAGTATTCTTTTTCTTTCTTTCTTCTTCTTTTTTTTTTTTTTTTTTTTTTTTTTGGTTTTTCAAGACAGGGTTTCTCTGCAGCTTTGGAGCTTGTCCTGGAACTAGCTCTTATAGACCAGGCTGGTGTCGAACTCACAGAAATCCGCCTGCCTCTGCTTCTCGAGTGCTGGGATTAAAGGCATGCGCCACCACTGCCCGGCTACATGAGTATTCTTTTAGAAAACTTTAGTTTTAAGCAAATAACCATGTGTATTTTATAACATAAAGGCACTCCAATATGTGTGTGAGTGTGCGTGTGTGTGTTTGTGTTTGCAAGTACTGGGTTACAGTACACATTGTTTCTTTTTTGTTTGTTTTGTTTTTCTGAGACAGAATTTCTCTATGTAACAACCTTGGCTGTCCTGGAACTTGCTCTGTAGACCAGGCTGCCCTTGAACTCACAGAGATCTGCCTACCTCTGCCTTCCTAATGGCTGGGATTAGAAATGTGTGTCACCAGCACCCAGCTGTTTTGTTTGTTTCTTTTTGTGAGAGTATGAATGTGTATATGTGGGTATCTGTTTTGTGGAGTTTGTTCTGTTTTGTTTCTAAGCAAGATCTTTCGCTGAACCTGGAGCTTACCATTTTCAGCTAGCCTACTCAGCAAGCCCCAAGGATCCCGTCTTCCCGAGGATTCCATTCCCCCAGTGCTGAGGTTACTACCCGAGCTGGCATTTATGTGGGTATACTGGATCCCAAGTCAGTTTCTCATGCTTTCCCAGCAAGTGCTCAAATCATGGGCCACCTTCCCAGCCCCCTTGTTCCTTACTGTACATTCCAAGGGAAGAAAAAATAGCCTACAGTTACTGCCAAAGAAGAACTTAATGCCCAGTGAAGGCAATCAGAGATCTCTTAGATACTGGCTGCTATGTAATTTACCAACTACATTAACTGCGGAGCCCCCCTCCATTCAGCAGTACTGTAACTCTTCTCTGCCTAAAAAGATACTGGAGACTTCTCTCTCCACCGTCCTTTAAGGTACCAGAGGCTTCTCTCTCCACCCTCCTGTAAGAAAGACTGCTGCTGTGAGAACCGGCCCTCAGCAGCTCAGGAGTTGAAGGGGAGCCACAGAGTCAGCGAACTAATCACTCAGTTGACTTTTCTGTCTGAGGGAGTAAAACTTAATTAATTCTCAGAAAAAAAGGGAAAACACATACCCTCAGGGTCTCTTTATCATCTATCTTTATTTCTCCTTTACAGCTTATATATCTCATCAAAATCTTTCAAGCAATTTAAAAATTACAGTGTGGTTGCATTCTATTTTTCAAGTGAATCATAATGAATACAGGTAAAAAAACATGTTCCCATTTTCCTTACATGATTAAACATTATGTATTATAGGTAAGAAACAAATTATTCCCAAGAACCAATACATTAATGTCCAAGCAGCTTGTTATAGATTAGCAGAGTATAAGCAAGCAAGGTATTTTTCTCAACCAGTTCTTTTACTGGCAGGCTGCTTTTTTCAGTTAGAAAGAAAGGATCAATCACTTTATTATTTATCACTAAAGGTAATATTATAAAACTTGTAAAAATCACAAATCTAAACTTTTACATATGAAAACCTATCAATCATTTCTACCTTAAGTCCTCAGGGTCCATACCTGCTCATCAACAGTTTTTTATTAAATCATCAGGAAGCTAAGGGCAGAAATGGGCACAAGGAATTAATCACCTTTGATCACCAACCCATCCTAGCAAGAAAGGTACATCAGCCAGCAATAGCCAGACTGCCATTGTTTTTGTTCCCTGACCTCATTGAGTTGCTCACTCAACTATTAAAAATATGTTTTTCTAAACTTTAAACTGTTACCCAAGGTTTTCTATCTCAACACATGAACAAAATCATCTTAACCTAACCTTAAGTCATACTTAAAATTTCATTTTAGCTATGATGCACACTGAAACCTGTGAACACGTCTCCCAACATTAAGATTAAAAGAATTCAAGGTAGCCTAACTCCTGGAACTCAGCTGTTTTCCTTGATCATTAACTTAAGCCACAATCTCTATGTGGCTCCTCAAGAGAAACTCCTAAGTCCTAGCTGGGTGACAATTTCTAGTTTCTATTTTCTACCCTTTGCAGCCCCTGCTCTTCCAGGGGCAGGGTCAACAGTATATTCTACCTTTACCTGTATTAATTTTCCCACTAAACAAACCTCTATTACAATCCCTTACTATATTTGTTAGAAACCCTTAATCAAAATTCTATTTAAACTAATTCTATTATTGTATAAAATCATTGCTTCAATTAAACAGTACAGCTCAAGAGGAAATCATCTTCATAATAATTCACAGGTAAACATACCCGGTAGAACGAGATATTTCCATGAGATAATCACACTACATTAAAGGCAGTGGGGATCCCCGGACACCCATCATCCACTCTCCATGCCAGATGCCAGAGGAAAATGGCATCAGCCAACATGTAAAGGCACAGCAGTAGCAAGAAACGTTCTGGAGCCAAAACCCTCCGGCCTTGCCTATCTAAGATTTACTCAATTGTGCCTTGCTTCCTGAAGCTTAATTGTCACCGGCTGCTCCTCTGACATGGCCACAGGCCAAAGACAAGCCCCTGAAGACTGTATAAAAAGACCCAGCCTGCCTGGGGGTGTCAGCCCCAGTCATCTCTGCCCTTAAGTACCTAAGACATGGGACACATAAATCTATCATTGCCTGCTTTCTCATTTGTCGAGTAAGGATAGTAGGTTTGTGCACTCTATCTAAGGGTTCTGTGCTGATTCCATTAACCTTGGAATGAAAATACTGCATCCGGGTGTAATGAGTCTCTCTCTGTTCTGCCAGCCTGAGTTTTTACCTTATCTCAATACTGTCCATCCTGCTTCCCTGAGCATCTCGTTTCTCATGAGCGCCTAGATTCCTCCTGGTTCCCACTGTGAGGAGTCCTTCTCTGTCCAACCAGACAACTCCCAAATAATGACACGGAGACTTATTAATTATGAAAATTCAGCCCTAGCTTAGGTTTGTCTCACTAGCTCTTATAACTTAAATTAGCCCACATATATTCATCCACATTTTGCCTCATGGCTTTTTACCTTTCATTCTGTACCTCCGATTTGTTCTGCATCTGTCTCCTTGCATTTTCTTTGCATGCCTAGATTCGTCCCCAGTTCCTCTTTGTCTGAAATCCCACCTATTCTCCCTGCCTAGCTATTGTCTGTTTAGCTTTTTAAACCAACCACAGTGACACATCTTTACACAGTGTAATCAAGTATTTCTAAACATCCAGGGGTCAAATAGATGGCTCATTGAGTAAAACTACTTACTACCATGCTTGATGACCTGAGTTTGATTTCCACGACACACACGAGAAAGGCAAGAATCACCTCAGGTACTTGGTCTTATGACAAGCACGCACACACGGTGGAACATTCACATTCACCTACATACCCTCAAGATGAACGTAATAAATTTAAAAATTACACCTGGGAGAATGTGTACAGGTTTTCCCTGTTATTATTCTCTAAATAATACAGCTGTTGACATATCATTTACATTGTATTAGGTATAAGCTATTTAGAGAATACTTAAGGTATAAGTCAAGGGTGGGTTACATGCAAATACTACAAACTTAGTGGTCTCAGCACTCAAGTGTCAAGGACTGGGCTTGGCTATGTAGATTCCAGGGAAACCTTGGCTTCATAGTGAGACCCTAAGTTGCTCATAGGTCAGTCTGAGGTGCAGGTACTACCTCTGAACAACCTTAAGGCAGACATAAGTCATGTTTTCCATAGGAGTTCTATTTCTTGTATCATAGGAAAGAAAATGCCTTTCATAGCGTCTAACCCTGAGTTCATCTAGAAAAGCATGTTAGGTGAGGGGCTAAGATACAGCTCAATGGTAAAGTACCCGTCTAGCACGTAAGCGTTTCTGCGTTCCTCTCTGGCACTACAAGTGAGTGTATGAATGAGGGCTGGGACTGCAGCTCAGCAGAGTGCTTGGCTTGTATGTATGAAGCTGTTTGATTCCCCACTACTGAATACGCTAGTAATGGCACCTGTGCTTGTAACCCCGACGCTCGGGATGTAGAGGTGAGAGAATCAAGTTTAAG